AGACAGAGGGCCGGCAGTTCAATATGACTGCCTTGTTTCAATAAGATTGGCTTTCCTTGTTTACTATTATTAGTTTTAAAGCAAGGAAGCTGAGCTGGAGGAGCACATTGAGCCTTTTCTTCAGGCTTGTCTCCTTTCCATTCCTAAACTATTCGTGTCCCACCTGTTCCAACTTTCCGTTAACGAGACTCCATCCTTAAGTACCCCATTCCAAACGTTTTCTTCCACTATACCCTTTCTACATTCACAATCCTCCTGCAACATTCCTTTTTCTCTCAAGTTAGGTCCGTTTCCATTCTGCGTCTCTATCCTTCACGTCCTGATTTTGCTATGAGGTTTAGTTGACCTCAGTTAATGCTTAGCCTCCATCTTCCTTCAGGAGAGCCATTTGGGGTGAGGGTGTGCAAACTGGGGTTCCAAAGCTATCCATCATGACTGGAAAACTCTGATTCTTCCTTAGTCTGTCCAATACACTACCATCCAAATTTAAATAAACAGCAGAGTCAGTGAAATTGTTCAATGGCTGAGAAACAGCTAATAAAAGCTGATTGAGCCTCGCGGTGGCAGTGGCGCACACCTTTAATCCCAGCACTGGAGGCAGAGACAGGCGGATCTCTGTGAGTTCGAGGCCAGCCTGGTCTACAGAGTGAGACCCAGGACAGGCACCCTCCCCCTGTAAGAAAAAGCTGATTGACTGTAGCAGGCTTAGACTTTGGAGTTGTATCACCTGGGATGGGTACAATCTTTGTGGAACATGTGGAATTTGTGTATGGAGTATATGTTCCTTGTCTTTTTAAAGAGTCATCTACAAAAGCATTAAAAGCAATCTTTTTTAGATTGAAAAATAATAATCTACAGAATTTTTAGATGTAACTTTAGGCAATATCCATAGGATATCTTTAAAAATCTTAAGAGGGAATGTAATGGCTATTCTTGGTTGTCAACATAACTGTATCTAGAATGAGTTACAATCCAGAAATGGAGGTCCTACCTGTGATCTGGATCTTGAGGTGAAAAGACAACCTGCCTTTGATCCCAGTCTTGAGGCTGGAAGACACACACCTCTGCTCCAGATCTTGCCATGGGAGACACACGCCTTTAATCCAGACCTTGAGGCTGGAAGGCACATCTTTAATCTGGGCCACACCTTCTGCTGGATGCTATCTAAGGGCAACAGAAGAAGGAAAAGGTTCATTCTTCGCCTGCTTGCCACGGCCTTGCCAGCACATCCATCCATTCCTTCATTGCCTTTGCCTTGACTTCTCCAAGACTCCAGCACATACAGAAGACCAGCGGGGACAGCCAGCCTCGTGGGACCGAGCAACTGCTCAGACTTTCTATTCGCTGCCAGCCATTGTCGGATTAGTTGACTGCAGCCTGTAAGTCATTCCAATAAATTCCATATATGGGGGGGGGGAGAGAGAGAGAGAGAGAGATTCATTCTGTACGTCTTGTGACTCTAGAGAACCCTGACTAATACAGGGAATATTTTGGATCCCATGATAATACAACCTGCCACTTAATATCAATGAAAAAATAATAGTCTTTACCAGTAAGGAATTATTTCTATGAATTATTGCTTTAACAACTGAATTATTTAATAAATTAATAACCCGCTCTACTTTAGATGTTGCATTTGTTGTAGAATTTAACTGAGAGCTTCCAGAACACAGCTTAAAGAGCAGAGCCAACTCCTTAGTAGTGACAAACAGGTAAGAGCGTACCCAATGGTGACCTAAACTTTTTAATTTTGCTCTTACCATGAAAGCTGAGCATTTATTTAAGCATTGATTAGATGAGCAGGGGAAGAGACCATCCTCCATATAATGAATTACTAATACTTTTTTGGCTTTTTGAAAACAGGGTTTCTCTGTGTAGTTTTGGAGCCTGTCCTGGATCTTGCTCTGTAGACCAGGCTGGCCTCGAACTCACAGAGATCCGCCTGGCTCTGCCTCACAAGTGCTAGGATTAAAGGCGTGCACCACTGCCACCCAGCCAACTACTACCTCTTGAAATTTAAACAGCATTGGCTTAGTGCTTTATGCCCTGGCTGCAATTATTTCTGAACTAGAAGTTGCGCTTGTTTTCACCCCCTCATCCC